CAACCAGATACGACTGGCGCCGAAGAAAATGGCACGTGCCGGAAACAAAGGCCGAAGCCCCGGCAACGTACTCCAGGGAAGCATTCAAACCGAGCAAGCAGTTGTAAATGCGCTGGTCACGGTCCGTGGGAGAACCTTCGACCAGACTGGCCGCCGCAGCCAGGTATGTGTCTCCGTGAGACATAGCCAGCATGGAGTGTCGAGCGAGGGTGTCCAGCTGTTGCAGGGTACCTTGCGGTACCGTGGCAACCGGTGGGGCACGGACCCCCAAACGCTCCACATGGGCTTCCGCAGAAGGACCAGCCTCGGGAAAGGCAAGGTCATGAACTGGGAAAGACCCTTTTCTCCACGACGGGGGAGGTAACGGGAGACCCCGACCGGAGGCAGCCGTGAAGGCTTTCTCCAAAGACGGCTTAATCCCGCGCAGCAAGGTTGATGCCGGGAAAGCCTTGTCGGACGACTCGTCGTATACCTCGGAGGAACCCACGGAACCGTGGATACCCCGCGGTATCGGCAGGGGCTTTGGCATGTCCCCGAAGAGGTCATACACCATGGCCACGCGGTCCTTAACCGATAGCGGAAGCAACGGTTCGGGGGAAGGACCGGTAACCACGGCAGCCGGCGCCGTACCGGTGGACCCCGCGTCCGAACCCGCGGCCACCGAAGAGGCCGGGGACGGAACAGCCAGCGGCCTATCTTGCGATAAGGCCGCCAGCTTGGAGTCCACAATTTGCGACAACAATGCCGGGACGGAAGCCCCAGACAGCCCGAGGGCCGCAAGGGGATCCACCGCAGCCGACAAGGAGGTGTCCGCACGGGGGCCCCGACCGGACGAACCGGCCACCACAGGGGTGGAAACGGACTGCGCGCACAGCCGGTACCGCTCAAACTCCGCAGGTCCCAGACCTTCGCACAGGGTGCACCGGGTTTCCTCGCAAGGAACCCTGCACCGCGGGCAACGATCGTGGGGATGCCGGGACGACAAAAACTTTCTGCACACCCCACAACTCCGAGGAGCAGGGGTAGAGGGGGTGGAGACAGGGGACATATCCATGTCAGACATTGATTGTTTTCTAGAAACAAAGAACAAAACATGGTTACAACGCACGCACCACAATGATTCACAAACGAACATTTTCACAAGAAAATAAACGAGCAATGTGAACATATAACATACACATATAACTTTTACTAAAGAAATAAGTTATGTTAACCCCCAAAACATACAAGAACAGGGGAAACGTAAAACACAACGTGCATACGCGAACCCCGCAAGTATATAGAAAAAAGGGCGGGAAAAATTTTCCGTTTGGCGGGAAAATTATAACCAAGCGTAGCTACCGCAACGCCCCATAAAAGCACAGTTTATTAGAGAATAAACGATAATAAATATCACCAAATCTTCAAGGAACGCTTCAGCAGGAGAAAACACGTCTTGCTAAGCAGACGAAGGAGACAAGAGTGAAGGGTGTCACATGGCAGCTAGGTGGCTACGCACGTGCTGCATGAGGTAATTGAGATCTCTGTGGTAGATTTCGCTATAGCAGCAGTTGTGGGAGACAACAGCCTCGGTATAACAGTGGTAACGTATTACTTAATGTAATTATGAGTTGCAAGGATATACAATATTTTTGTATGCGCAACCCAATGTAAACCAAGGGTATTTATATTTTCATTTAGGGTTTGGAGAGCACATCTGCGCGCAAACCAAACAACGTGGATGATAATCTTTGTAAGATTTTTCCCACGACAATTAATACCACGCTCAATCATAAGTTACACAATTACATATATATATGTATATTCAATGTCTGTACATATAGAGTAGGGAAAGGGCCACCTAAGTTGGATAACTTTTGCCCAATCCCGTTGACCATATATGTCAATAAAATATGTTTAAAACAAACACAATTACGCCATTGTTGATGAGGCGGTACTGGAAGAATGCCATAGAATTGAACAATAATCTATCGGCAAAAACTACGAGTTGCAAGAGTATACAATAGTTCATATACGCAACTCAATGTAAAACCAAAAATACCAACAAAAAACTATTTAATCGCATAAACATAGGTACGCAATAAAAGAATTGTTGATGAAGCGGGACTGGAAGAAAGCCGTAGATTTGATATTAATCTATCGGCAACCATATTTTTAACGAGTTGAAAAAGTATACAATAATTTTAGTATACGCAACTCACTGTTACGCCAAAGCTAGTAATATTTAAGAACATAAGAATATGTTATACATACGTAGCTGAGAATTGTAAACAATATGACTACCTTGGCAGGCAAACGATTGTAACACAATTCAAAATGGCGGCGAACAACAATATTTTGGCGGGAAAAAAGACAAGCGTCTTTTCACGCCTAATTAATTCACATAAAACTACACAACATGGTGAAAGTAATATGAAAAGAATACATCACCCATCGCAGATCAATTTTTAAGATTGTAGACAAACTGAAGGTCTAAAATTAATCCAAAAGGAGAGCTCCGCTTGGACACGTCCTAGCTGTGCTGCGACAAGCAGTGATGTGAAGATGACCTTAGGTGTCATCAAGGTCACAGGACAGCGACGGAAGGCCACTGATTGGGACTTGAGAACAACAACTTTATTTCTTCACCCAGGACCTTCGCAGCGCTGTCCTTCTAGTTGTCGTAAGTAAGCAGTGAATGCATTAAGGAGTAATGCAGGATAAGTAAACAATTTTCCTTTTGGCGGGAAAAATATTTCCAAGCATAGTTACAGCAAACGCCCCGTAAAAGCACAGTTTATTAGAGAGAATAAACAGTAATAAATATCACCGAATGGTCGGAGAAACAGGAACGCTTGAGCAGTTTATTGTACGTCTTGCTAGAGCAAGCGAAGAGACAAGAGTGAAGGGTGTCACATGGCAGCTAGGTGGCTACGCACGTGCTGCATGAGGTGATTGAGATCTCTGTGGTAGATTTTGCTATAGCAGCAGTTGTGGGAGACAACAGCCTCGGTATAACAGTGGTAACGTATTACTTAATGTAATTAATCCTATAGTGAGAGGATGGACTGTAAGTATAGCTAAGTTTGTAATCCTGTAGTGAGAGGAGGGACTGCACACACAGCTTAGAGTGTAATCCTGTAGTGAGAGGATGGACTGTAAGTATAGCTTAGAGTGTAATCCTGTAGTGAGAGGATGGACTGTAAGTGTAGCTTAGGGTGTAATCCTGTAGTGAGAGGAGGGACTGTAAGTATAGCTTAGAGTATAATCCTGTAGTGAGAGGAGGGACTGCACACACAGCTTAGAGTGTAATCCTGTAGTGAGAGTAGGGACTGTAAGTATAGCTTAGAGTGTAATCCTGTAGTGAGAGGAGGGACTGCACACACAGCTTAGAGTGTAATCCTGTAGTGAGAGGATGTACTGTAAGTATAGCTTAGTTTGTAATCCTGTAGTGAGAGGAGGGACTGCACACACAGCTTAGAGTGTAATCCTGTAGTGAGAGGATGGACTGTAAGTGTAGCTTAGAGTGTAATCCTGTAGTGAGAGGAGGGACTGTAAGTGTAGCTTAGAGTGTAATCCTGTAGTGAGAGGATGTACTGTAAGTATAGCTTAGTTTGTAATCCTGTAGTGAGAGGAGGGACTGCACACACAGCTTAGAGTGTAATCCTGTAGTGAGAGGATGGACTGTAAGTATAGCTAAGTTTGTAATCCTGTAGTGAGAGGAGGGACTGCACACACAGCTTAGAGTGTAATCCTGTAGTGAGAGGATGGACTGTAAGTATAGCTTAGAGTGTAATCCTGTAGTGAGAGGATGGACTGTAAGTGTAGCTTAGGGTGTAATCCTGTAGTGAGAGGAGGGACTGTAAGTATAGCTTAGAGTATAATCCTGTAGTGAGAGGAGGGACTGCACACACAGCTTAGAGTGTAATCCTGTAGTGAGAGTAGGGACTGTAAGTATAGCTTAGAGTGTAATCCTGTAGTGAGAGGAGGGACTGCACACACAGCTTAGAGTGTAATCCTGTAGTGAGAGGATGTACTGTAAGTATAGCTTAGTTTGTAATCCTGTAGTGAGAGGAGGGACTGCACACACAGCTTAGAGTGTAATCCTGTAGTGAGAGGATGGACTGTAAGTGTAGCTTAGAGTGTAATCCTGTAGTGAGAGGAGGGACTGTAAGTGTAGCTTAGAGTGTAATCCTGTAGTGAGAGGATGTACTGTAAGTATAGCTTAGTTTGTAATCCTGTAGTGAGAGGAGGGACTGCACACACAGCTTAGAGTGTAATCCTGTAGTGAGAGGATGGACTGTAAGTGTAGCTTAGAGTGTAATCCTGTAGTGAGAGGATGTACTGTAAGTGTAGCTTAGGGTGTAATCCTGTAGTGAGAGGAGGGACTGCACACACAGCTTAGAGTGTAATCCTGTAGTGAGAGGAGGGACTGCACACACAGCTTAGGGTGTAATCCTGTAGTGAGAGGATGTACTGTAAGTATAGCTTAGTTTGTAATCCTGTAGTGAGAGGAGGGACTGCACACACAGCTTAGAGTGTAATCCTGTAGTGAGAGGATGGACTGTAAGTATAGCTTAGTTTGTAATCCTGTAGTGAGAGGAGGGACTGCACACACAGCTTAGAGTGTAATCCTGTAGTGAGAGGATGGACTGTAAGTATAGCTTAGTTTGTAATCCTGTAGTGAGAGGAGGGACTGCACACACAGCTTAGAGTGTAATCCTGTAGTGAGAGGATGGACTGTAAGTGTAGCTTAGAGTGTAATCCTGTAGTGAGAGGAGGGACTGTAAGTATAGCTTAGAGTTATAATCCTGTAGTGAGAGGAGGGACTGTAAGTATAGCTTAGAGTGTAATCCTGTAGTGAGAGGAGGGACTGTAAGTATAGCTTAGAGTTATAATCCTGTAGTGAGAGGAGGGACTGTAAGTATAGCTTAGAGTGTAATCCTGTAGTGAGAGGAGGGACTGTAAGTATAGCTTAGTGTATAATCCCGTAGTGAGAGGAGGGAGAGCTGCACAGGTACCTCCTGCAGGTTCTCCCAGGATGCTGCTGCCTCTGTGTTGTGGGGAACAAGGTGAAGCTGGACCTGGTGGCTGCCAAGTGATGAGGGAAGACTGGTGGAGGTGATTTCTGCACTTGGGCAGGAAGGTGTGGATGGGGAGGAGCTGCAGGAATCTATCAAAATAAAATTGGACATTTATATACTTAATCTCACACTATTCATCTCTGTTTCTTCTTCAATCCTAAGTGGAAAACATGCTCATACAAAGGTTCATACAATTTGCCCTGAACAGCCCTCACGTCACCATGGTCACCTCCCAACAATCTGGGACATGCACACTCTGTATGCATGTTGACCTATACACGCTAGTCACATGTTTCCCCAGCCAACACTTTCTCTTTCTAAAGCTTTATAGGCTAAGGGAATTGTGATGCGGGGATGGACGGGGTGGATGAGATAGGATAAGTATATAAATAAACAAGTTATTGTAAAACTTACAATTTTTTTACAAATCTCACACTAAGGATTTGTGGAAGGTGGGGCGCAACTCCAGTGTTCCCGCTGGCTTTTCAAACTGCCAGTCCGGGTGGACTGGCAACCCTTAAAATTACCAGTCCCACCCAAATTTTAATCAGTCCTACCTTTCAACCCCCCAAAAACGTTGGAAAATTACCTGGTTCTAATTCTTCCAACATCATATTTAATGCAATGATGTCATCTCCGAAGTAACTTAGTAAGATTTAAACGCCATTCACACAAAGTGATCATTAGTGTCGGATAAAGCCGATTGTCGGAATAACGAGTGTCATATTAACAAGATGTTAAGTATTGCTTATCTAGTGTCTGAAGACAAAGTTCCTGAACAGGGATGAAACACTCAACAAAGTGTTGTGACCCTAACCCCAGTCGCAACTTGCTTGGAATCTCTCTTAATGCTCTATTAAACCCTCAAACCCGTGCGGGGGTTCAAATTGGTGAGTTCGACGAGAAGAGAAAACAATCTACTATATCCATAAGAGGATCATCGATCCAGTACCCAGCAACACAAGACATAAGGCAGAGTTGAGTGAAATAAAGGATAAGGACAACGGCAAACCAGCCGCACCATATGGCCACTTTGTGACGAATGGGATCCGTCAAACTGGAACCTAGTGACATCCAATGCATGAATTTCACTTACCTGTGCAGCGGTGGCCAAAGCCAACAAAAAGACGGTCTTCAGTGTAACTGTCTTGAAGTCCTTCTCCGTCAGTGGTTTGTAATCGCTGGAAACCAGGTGTTGAAGAATAACGTTTAGGTCCCACGATGGAGGATGAAAACGAGGGGCTTGATCGACTAATTTGTAGGAACGGATCAGCGATTGAAGCTCTGTAACCGTGGAAACCTTCGCACCGGAATTGGTGGAAATGACAGAGTTAAGATCCACGAGGTAGGTTGCCAACATTGATCCCCAAAGTTTCCGAGTCTAACGCACCTGATGTAAATATTCAGCGATCTGTTGAGGCGAAGCCAAGGTAGGAGTAGCGACAATAAGTCTCAAAAGCCGTCCACTTGTGGTCACAAAGGCGCCTGGTGGAAGAACGATAGACAGCAGTGATGTTCTTCGCTACCTGCTGGGAGTAGCCTTTTGCAATGAGGGACTTCTGAGCAAGTGAGAGCAAGTGAGAATAGGGACATCGACTTCGTGGATCCCATCCTGTTGATGTACCACACTACCGCCGTGTTGTCAGACTGGATCAAGATGGAGGTGGGAATGAGTTCCGAGTTTTATACATTGATTAGCAAGCCCAGTTGTCTGAGAAGATGCAGCGTGAAGGCGAGTTGTAGACGGAGGAAATCGGAATCTGCGTGAACTTGAATGCAGTCGCCAAAGGGCATGGCGGCAACTGGAATGGCTGGGGGGCGGAAATTCCAAGTCACGCCGATTTGAAAAATAGTCAAGCTCCTACCGAACCTCCCCCTCCCCAGCTGCCTTAGGTCTGGTAAAGGAGACCGTTGACCTCTTCGGCCTCTGCCTTGCCCGCAAAAGGAGGAAATAAACTTCAATCACGCTGGGCAGGAACAAATTGGGGATATTGGCGATCTTTATTTCTTGATCCTCCAATTATCTTTTCTGGAGATGTAGAAGGACCACAGTGACCCGAGTCTCTCTGCACATCCTGTGTGACATGTTGTATCGCATCAGTAAACAAGGAGCAAGAAGACCAGGGTTGCTGGTACAGTTTTTGCCTTGAATTGATTGTCCCAGGAAGAATGTTGCAGTACACCATGGCAACGAAGAGCCGTCATGGAGCAAGGAGGTCTAAGATCTGCACTGCGTAAGCTTGTCTTGTGTAAGGTTGATCACTCCCCGAGTAAAGGCATCTTCTTGGGAATGAGTTGTGAGAGAGACAGAGAGTGTGTTCATACCTGACAAAATCGTAGACCTAGAGGGATTACGATCTGGTGATCAGGAACGTCTTCAACGATAAGAGTCATGGTAGATCGGGTAGGCATCCCATTCCTGTCGACAAGCTGCGTAGGCATCAACCACCAGAAAAATCCTGTGAGGATAACCGCTATGGTGATACTCTACTACGGCTGGCCGATATCTGTCATAGAGAGAGCTGTCCAACGGGTGGTCAATTGAAGGCAATCAGGAGCGGGAATGATGTCGGTCATGGTGCAGGCATTCGATCAGCCAAGAAGTGAGAATGGTGATCAAGTCGAGAATGCCTATTCTGGGAGCGAGATCACGATCCTGAGAGCGGGAAGGCTGATCCTGTGAGCTAGAACGCCGATCCTTGGAACGAGGACACTGATTATGGGAGTGGGAGTGCCAATCTGCAGTCTTGGAGGGTGAACGTCGCACCGAAGTGTGATGATCTAAAACGACCTGGGAGGTAGTAATACCAACAACCGTATCTCTAGCAGCCGGGGGAGAAGAGCAAGCCGAATCCAAGAGCAGGATTTTAACTGGAGCAATCGGACCCTGGTATAACGAGAGTGGGACCTGGGTTGGTCAGACACACCGAGCGCACATCGACCTGTGTATTTTCTTGTGGAGAGGTTGACAGGTCGTGAGTCAATAAATCGTTTGTAAGGAAGCTGTCTGAGAGGGTCTTGACTGTGACAGAAATTACAGACTTGTTAGAATTGTCTTTAGGGCGTGAGGAGCTGGTTTTAGCCTTGGAATCCCCCACTTTGGAATGGTGATCAGCAATTTGACAACGACAACGTTGCAGGTAAAATTTAAACGCCAAGTTAGTTAGGGAATGACATTCCGCAGATTGGGAACCCAGGGTGCACTGTCCCCGACGGTCGCAACATAATGAGTGGGGATCTGATGTGGAAAAGGTACGTCTGCATTGTTTACAAGCAGGACGTTGTTTATCCTTTTTTCCCCATATTTATATATGGTGTGAGATGGGATAAGTTTAAAAATTTGAAATTATCTCAATGACATCCTCCAACATACCCTTACTAATCCCTTTCAGATGTATACCCAGCAAAACACTGTCATACCACCTGCATCATGTCTACCTGAGTTGGGGGGGACTGTCTCCGTAACAAAGGCCTCTATGGACTCGACAGCCTTCTCCTTCATGCTCTCCACCTTCTTATCAAACGTGGGCAGATCCTCCTCCAGTATCTGGCCGCGGGCCTTCTCAATCTCCCGGATGTTGGCCTTGATCTGTTGGATAGTGCGAGAGGCATTGATCTGCTCCTTGTTCAGGCCCTTCCAGTCCTCATGTACCAGCAGCTGAAACACACACACTATGTTAACACTATCCATTACCAAATGATTACAGAAGTGGAACCATGACAAGCTAGATGGTTCTGAATATCAGACTGGACGCTCCTTCTATTTTGGCATGTATCATGCTCTTCATTGAACACAACCATAACATGTACATCAACGACATGATGCTACAAAAGTTACAGGTCCTAGTCATGTCTAGTCATGTACTCCTCACCTTCTCGATATTCAGCCTGTGTCTGTGCAGTCTGTCCAAATCTATCTCTAGGACTTTGAGAAATTTGGATATTGATGGTTCCAGTCTTCTTACAGGATACTTCTGCACAGGGTGGCTCACTGCCTGCTTAGGGGATTTCTCAAAGGACATTTCTGTAAGGAGAGTAGTAAATGTAGATACACACACAGCACCAGTAGTAATGTTATTATAGTAATAACTCATGTTATTGCTTGCAGTGGTGACTTTCACTTTACTCATAACAGGACCAATATAGCAGAAGACACATTTAGTTTAGTTTCACATTTTTCCATTGAATTAAATAGTAAAATACCCCTGAAAGTAATAAAATAAGAAATTTTAAGAGAACCCCAATTTTGAACAAATAACATATTTTTCAAACTTGTCTGCCATGGGCACTTAAGTTGTAATCTTAGTTAAATCCCTGTATTATTTATAAAAATGTGCTGAAAATTTGTCCATTTGATGAGAACTGTTTTCAACTATTACCTACCGGTTTGCATTATCCATTGAACAAAACTTACTGCACAGTTACCATGGAACCCTTAAACATGAGAATTGACCTTAACTGTACTTGTCTTATGCCTGAAAGAGTTTCCCTGTTTCAATAATGTGTCTGATTTAAATATATATCTAAATAAGCAAATTATACATACCGTATTCGACGTAATAAGCGCCCAGGGCGTTCTCAAAATTAGAAATAGGGGGCTCTTATTAGAATATTATTTTGGTGAAAAAAAACAGAGTTGAAAGATAAATTTCGTGGTTTATGCTGGGGTGCAGGCTAAAATGGCACCTCAGCAAAACGTCACCGATTTCTCTGGCGAAAACGGCACCGCATTTGGCAAAAGTGGCTACTATGAGTCAGGCGAAAACGGCACCTCTATTTTCATTAACGATAACAACGATTTATGTAGTAATATATAGGGTCCAGTGGGTCCACTGGTCACAGTTATCACATGATACTGATATGCTGACAGCCTGAAATGTTTATGTACGACAGATATATTTTTCCAGAATTTAATTCCCAATAATTAAGGGTGCATATAACACAAGAGTGCGTATTATACGCGAATAAATAAGTCTTCTGTACATTGATCAATCGGAAGGGGTGCTAACTGGGATTGTTCACTAGCCAATATATTAGCAAATATCACCGTGGGCGCTTATTAGAGCGGGGCGCTTATTACGTCGAATACGGTAATTCAAATTCGAAAGAGTACTTTGTTATCTGTGAGGTAAAAAAAATGACGTTTCTGTCTCAGCAAAAGTGAAGGATTTCTTATTGTAGGCCTACATGTTTAGTGTTCCCAGCCTGTGCCTTGGGACCCCAATCTTGGGTTGGTTGGTTGGTTGGTTTGTTTAATGCCGCACTCAGCAATATTTCAGCTATATGACGGCGGTCTGTAAATAAATCGAGTCTGGACTGGACAATCCAGTGATTGATATCATGAGCATCGATCCACGCAATTGGGATCAATGACATGCATCAAACCAAGTCAGCGAGCCTGACCACCCGATCCCTTTAGTCGCCTTTTACGATAAGCATAGTCGCCTTTAACGGCAAGCATGGGTTGCTGAAGACCTATTCTACCCCGGAATCTTCACGGGTCCCCAATCTTGGGAAGTATCGATCTGGACCTGCTCAGAGGGCTGGTATTCTGTCCCAAATAGGTAAATCAGGGGAAATAAATTGTGTAATCTGTAAATAATATTTCAATGTGAAGTTCACATGATTTGCAGAGTCTCCATTTGAATCGTGGCAGATCACATGACTGTGAAATTGATGTTTATGAATGTATGAATATTTTCACGAGACTGCAGTGTGCGTCAATTTTATTTTTTCCCCAAACAGACATTGGGGCTAGAAAGCACCAGCTGGAACTTTAGTTTACTAACATAACCCTAATAATACATCATACAGGGACTTGTTGGAGTGAGTGTATTTTGTCTATTCACTGTATATGTTTCAACTGTTTGACAGCAGTTGCATGTGATAATAATATTCGACACCAATTGGGCTACAACAAAAGATGCTTCACTAGTCCTTCAGGCTGATTAATTAGACTCTGGCTGCCGTCTTGTGGCAAGTATCGCTCATTTAGACTGTACTTAAGAAATGACATAAACACTAACAAGGCTACTACCATAATATGTTGTTAGTAAATTTAAAAAACAACAATAAATCTATCTCGCATGGTGATGTTTTCAACAAAAAACACACGAATACCAAACCGAAATTGCTTTTGGATTGCAAAATAAACCACTTAGATCTATATCCATAAGCTGTATCCTCGAATTTCTTCCACTGTCTTCGTACGTTTTATTCAAACATAATTAGTTTCTCAGGCAGAAAATCAAGAACACTTCTAATAAGTACGCAGAGCTATTGAAAAACGACCAATTCAGTAAAAGAGATAAAAGATGCAATGGCAATAGATCTATATAATCATACCAATATCACAGGCACACAGTGAGTTCATAAGCGGTCACTGATGACAAGTTTCAAGGACCAGTAAACTGTACGTATACTCAGAACCTACTTTCCATGTAATGGGTTTCCCTTTACGACATCTCCGTTTGTTTTTAATTGGTGTAGACTTAAAACATGACTTTTCAGAATTATTCCTACTGGGATCAGTCCCAAAAGACCAGTGACACGAATCATTAGCGCGTACATTATCGAAAACCAGTCATGTATGGAGTTTGGTATTTCCTGGTTTGAGAGACAGAGCCCAGTCAACCGGAAATAGTACTAGACAAAATACTTACACATCAAAATGACAATTGAAAATATGTGGAAACGGCCCTGAAAATGGACACAACACATTTCAAAATATCCATGAAACGAATAAAACGGACGACTGTTTTTGCATAGTATCTGACAACAATTTAAATGTCCTCTTTGCAGATGCTATTGGGATCGAGTTTTCAATATCTGCGTCCCAGGTACTGCTAGTGACGCTATATCCCCCCCACGAGAACTGCGCGCCTGAAGTCCCATCGGTGATCAGTGGTTAGTTCTTTGACTGATGTATGTTGTGAAGTAGTTGTTGTATGTAATGAGTAGCTAGTTCGATGTTTCAGCGGGAAAGATATCTGTTTAAAAATATCGCAATGGTACACACGAAAAGAGTCCCATACGGAAAGGTTTCTATACGGATATTTCCAATGAGTATTTCACACAGCACTACCTGCCATAGGAACTTTTGCATAAAACAAGACTGGCAATGGCTCGTTGTATCATCAGACACTTACTTACGCCTAGCTCAACATGAAAAAGGTCACTATGAGCTTACTTTTCCACATTATGTTTGTTCTTAGTTTTGACTTATGCGTTGGTGAGTCATTGCTTATCATAAAATGTTAATCGACACAGTTTTATGTGCAATGGAACACATGACGATCATCCTGGAAACGGGGAGCCTCTTTGCTGTAAACAACATACAGAGAACCTCACTCGAGTGTCTTATGATATTAAATATATTAACAAGTATTGATATAATTAATATCAAAAGACAGGAGGGTGAGGTTTTATTTATCATCCAACATCACTTTTCCAACGTTTTCAGTTTGTAGACACTAGTGAGTGAGTATGATTTTACGCCGTTTTTAGCAATATTCCAGCAATATCACGGCGGGGGACACCAGAGATGGGCTTCACAAATTGTACCCATGTCGGGAATCGAACCCGGATTTTCGGCGTGACGAGCGAACGCTTTAACCACCAGGCTACCCGAACTCTCCTTTACACGTAATGTTAAGACACTGCTTATTACTGTCTACAAAGGCGTAAGACCGAACTCACTGTTATGTGTAAAAAGTACTCCTAACACTAACAGCTTCAGTAGCAGAGCCATTAGTGACATGTAACAAAGACGTCACAATGGTCTGTAAATCATTGAGATGCAATTTCATTGCAGCGATAGCTACAATGTAGATAAATAGAGGTTATCACGCAAATGTGTGTTTGGGGATGGTAAATATCCTGCTTTATTACCCACGTGGTGAAGATACAGGTGGTAAGATACTAAATCCGTACGTCACACGTGTCGTACAAGGTTGGCCTTGTTTTATTCGTTTTGATTGGATAACCGTAACCTCAGTCACACCGGGACTACTTTTTTCATTCATAAGAAATCGCGAGACGTCATTCATTTTGCAACTACAAGGCAGAACTGAAGAAATTAATAATGAGAACGAGAGATATTTACAAACACTTTATTAAACCAAACAAAATAGTCACCCGCATCAAATTCGGTTTGCATTCTATATAAGTTATGCATAGAGCTTCTACAGACATTATATATATTATATGTAATCGAGTTATATCCATTTACAATGTACGACTACCGATCGATAGAGCGAGGGTCCCTCATGAGCGTGACGCACCCGACCACTTTCGCAACTTTCAATTTGATTTAACGTAAAAGGATAAGCGTGGTGAAATGAAGTCTTTTTAACAATCCGGACAGATATCTAGACCTACTTGGGGTGATCCGGTTTTGCCATCAGTGATCCCTTCGAAGCATATTTTGTGGCGCTGTTTCGGGAGGTGTTGTTCATGAATGAACGTAGAGATCTACACGACTGCACGACCAGATACAAATCTTTCGAAAAATCCGTGGAAGTGTGCCTGACTTCTGATTTTGTGGCCCCAAACATCCCAAATGTGAACAATAACATTCCCTATCTCTAGCGTAAAAAACTGTGAGTAGACCACGGTTGTCTTTTCTTATTCCGGTGGTGACCTTGCCCTTTGATCGTTCGAAGCTGTCACTGACATGCAAGCAGACTTGAGTTTGTTGATTTTCACGTCTTCAGTATAGGGTGGTACAGATAACATGAATGTCTTTGGCGAACACTCTGATTTCCATCTTGCAAAATGGTACGAACATGTTATAAATTCAGCTGATAGATCAAGGAAACCGAATCATTTTGATTGCACAGACGTTGGCCCGATATTCAAAGCGCGGCACTTATGTGACTTTTCACATTTTCTTATAGGTGTCCTTAGTATTAACAACATGGCGCTTGAATTACCATAAGTTGAAGAATTTCTTCCAAAAGAATCTTGTGCGTCGGTGCTGTTTTCTTTGCAAACACAACTGCAGGCACATGTTGTTAATGCGTATGCATAGAAATGTCAACAATGCCCATATTTGGGCATATATCAATATTCATACGCAACCAGATTTTGCAACCGGTTTCAGTTTGGTCTGTCAACAAACGAAAGTTGTTATGTATTTACACTTAAATATATATTTAACGTGGGTAATAAATAAAATACTACACTCATTCTCGTTAGATATCATTTTTACGAAACTCGTGAACTTTCTATGGTATCTGACCTCGCTTTCGCTCGAGAATGAGTGTAGTATTCTCTATTTAGGAAAAAAACATTGTATTTAGCGAGCCTTGGCGACCTTAATACATAGTGTTTATTCCTAATGCAGGATATTTACCATCCCCAAACACACAAGCGTGATAACCTCTTTATCATATACTGTCATTCTCGAATTCTGTGCTTCAAAATCGCTTTCCCTCTCTCACAAACATTACCGAAACATTGCGAGTTTTCCTGGAATGCGCGCATTAATATTTATTTCATCACAGGGTAAGTGATGTGTCAGTCGGACAGTGACAGTAGCCTGCAATATAGTTCCAACTGAAATCTGTTTCTTATACTGTGGCGAAGCAACATATATGCAAAACAACAATTGTTTTTACTCGCATTTCGCGGCAATCCATCGGTCTGTCAGCTTGAGTAACTGCCCTTTGTCAAAGGGAAGCTACTCTAACCCTAGTCTATGAGACGTCACGGCCACGTTCAGACGTTGTTGATAGTCGGCCTGTCACACAGCGACAAAACGATACAATTCAAACATATTTCGGCCAAATCCAACTATTTTTATTGGTGGAAAAGGTTTCAAGCCGCAAAGGTCTACAAGCACAGATATGGCTACTGATCTCGCTTGGCTAGGCCTAGTACCCTCGCAAAATTGTTTCGAAATTTATATCTCCAAAGATGCCAAACCTTATAAAATGCCTTAGCCACGTCACAGTTAGACACGGATTTTCAGTATATTAGACTGTTCTTTTGATAATGATAGCAATTATCCCTGTAGTTTATCCAGATTCCCGATGGTTAATTCTGACTCGATCGCCGAATGACAAGGGCGACGCCATGTTTGTTTATAAACAGTGAAAGTAGTCCCTACTTGACCTTTGATATTTGCATCTCTATCCGCATATGACCCCAACGGATATCGTTTTTATCCGTTGGCTTTATCCTGCCGAGAAACCCACCCATTATATATGATAAATAGAGGTTATCACGCGAGTGTGTTTGGGGATGGTAAATATCCTGCATTAGGAATAAACATTGTATTTAGCGAGCCTTGGCGAGCTAAATACATGGTGTTTATTCTTAATACAGGATATTTACCATCCCCAAACACACAAACGTGATAACCTCCTTATCATATAATGTCATTCTCGAATTCTGTGCTTCAAAATCGCTTTCCCTCTCTCACAAACATTACCGAAACATTGCGAGTTTTCCTGGAATGCGCGCATTAATATTTATTACGTCATAGGGTAAGTGATGTGTCAGTCGGACACTGACAGTAGCCAGTATAGTTCCAACTGAAATATGTTTCTTATACTGTGGCGAAGCAACATATACGCAAAACAACAATTGTTTTTAATTGCCTTTCGTGGCAATCCATCGGTCTGTCCGCTAGAATAACTCGCGTGATAACCTCTATGGAAAAGTTAGCAGAAACGGTTCCATGTGACGCCATTGTGGCAGTTACATATATTGACTATTTCTTGTATTTTACCTTTTAAGTAAAATCCATGTACATAATTAAATGCAGTTGTAGTCATTTTATTTTATTGCTCAGCCTACTTTAAACACTAAACCATCAGTCACAGCACTCTTACTAAGCATGCTTACTGCATGGTTTGTTTGTGAATGTCACACCCTGTGAACTAACACAATAGTCCCAGCCCTCTCCATACTCAAGCCTGGGTACTCAGCCATGCCACCTAAGGACTGTGGTCACTCCACATATACCTCTCCAACGGATAAAGATATATATATATATATATATATATATATATTTTCACGTGTTTTTTCACAAGGATCGTTTTTGGGGAACCTTAGATCAAATTCAAAGGTTAGTATTCTATTATTGAATTGAGGATTTTATTCATTAAATTGTATTTGCAATTTTGTAGATATTGTTTGTATTTGGATATATGTGTGTTTAGACACGAATACACGGAATGTAGATTCGTAATTATTATTGAGTTTAACAACCAAATAAGTATCCTACAATCATTAAAACACGTATAAGCATTAAACTAAAAAGTAAGATAAGTAGTTTTAGAAATGATAGAGGTTACTTGTGATATAAGAGGGAAGGCTAAGCAAGCATGCATGGTATGAATGAATGTAGGTAAGCATATATGAATGAATGAAAGTAAGCATAATGAATGAATGAAAGTAAGCATAAATGAATGAATGAGGGTAAGCATATATGAATGAATGCATGAGGCGTTTTATAATATTACTCTTTCATGTTCAGCTACATGTATATATGATAGAAAGTATTTGTTCTTATTGGCACGTCTGCATGTACTGTATATATTATTATTTCCTCTGCAGACG